AAATGCACATTTTTAATTATTAAGATTAGTACAGATCATTTTGGCGAATTGTACAGCGCCTAGAGCAGGCATGGATAGGCGCTATATAAATATTTATTTATTATTATTTATTATTACAATGTAGTTGATATAATTCACCTAAAAGTAACAACCTTATTATGGGCACATGAAGATCAAGGCTACAGCACAGAAGAATCTCTTGATTATGGAAGGATGGAAATTAACCTTGCCCACTCATCTGGAGAAGTCTGAATGTTGGACAAGAAAATAATTGTACATTTCTTTGCTCTTTTTCTTTTGAGGGCAGGGCAGGGGGACATTTCTAGAGACTGACTTACCAAGCTGTGACTCAATACTGTCAAAATTGAGTTTCCATCCCTGATTCTCTAGGCACATACATGTATAGTCTGTACATGTATGAATTTAATATGCATTGTTTCACCTTTTAGATACCTGGTATTCCAAGCTCCATTGCTGCTCTCTCCCCAAACATTTTTGCACACTGAACACAGTCTTCCATAGTTACACCTTGAACAGGAATAAAGGGACACACATCCAGTGCACCCATTCTCTTGTGTTCTCCTAAAAGAAATAATACCCACTTTTGTCATTAGCAAAGGAACTGACTCACACTACCCCTCTCATGAGGGAAGGAAAAGAAAGAGAAGGTGATGGATGGGGTAATGTCTGGCAATGAATTCAAAAAGTTCATTTCGGAATTATCATAATTATCAAAACTACATGTATAGATGCCATGTTTTATATGGGAACACATTTCCAGACATTAGAAAATGCAGGATGAAGAACTTTGAGTATTTTTGATGAACTTAAAGGAGTTTAGAAAAGTGTGAAACACAATCTTGAGTGTTCTATGTATCATCTGACTCAAATCTAAAGTAAGGAGAAAACAGAGAAATAAAATCATAAAAATCTATGCCAATTACTGTAAGATCAGATATCCAAATACCGTCACATATATGATATGATCTTACTTGTTTGAACTTGAAAAGTTAAAACAGAGTTTGAGAAAAAAAGTTACGCTTTACACTGTTATTTATATTTTTATATACATGAATATATGTAAAATGTGTTCTAGATTATTTTCACCTTAATTCTCAAATGAGTAAGAATTACATGTATTATATTATTGCTATGAGCTTTTACATTGCATGACTTTTAAACTAATGTAAAAAAAATAATAACTTAAATATCTCATGAAAGAGAAACTGTAAGTTCAGTATCCTTAATTAATTTTTAACATGCAAACTGATGTTTACATTTATATGCTCAGCACAAAACTTCCAAATATTAATAAACAAATTAAATGTTCGCCCTTACAAAAGAGACGTTAAAAAAACTATTAAATTTCTCTACCGTGGTGTCTTGTCATATCGATCAATTGCATGGCCATTCTCGCTCCATTCAGAGCTCCTTCCACGACACTTTCGGGCGAGCCGACGAATGTGTATACAGTCCTGTTGGTAGATACGCCCGGGTCCACGTCAAGTAGAGAACAACCCTCTACGGAGGCAATCGCTTGCGCTATGGCGTCAATCACTTCTTTATTTCGTCCTTCGGAAAAATTTGGAACACATTCAACGATTTGAGCCATGATCTTGAAGCGGACAATTAGGGAATACCGATGATTAAACCCAAAACCCAATTGAATCGACAAGCTTCGACAGTATTTTTGTTCGATTCTTCAAGGCGTTCCTACTGATCGCGTAATCACGTCTTACGTGAGCCTGGGGAGGAGACAGGTTTGAAAAAAAATGGCGCCGTAAATATGGCGGTCGACTTCGTAGAAGGACTATTTTCTTGAATTATGCTCACTGCGGGTTGTATTTCAAACATAAAAACCATCGCAGGCAAAGATGAAGCGAAGAAAACGTTTACTGTGAAAGTTTTGGACATTTACAGATACTTTGTCGACAAGAGCTTTCCCATTTTGGACCCGAATTTTACTGACGCTTTCGACATTGTGTTAAGCGATGGCCGTTACAAGACGAAATGTTTATTGTCAACCTCTTTAAATTGCCTCGTTTACGAACACAAGCTGCGGAAAAATTCTGTTGTGACAGTTACTGAATGTAGTTCCTTGATCGACGAGAAATCATTGGAGCAAGCACCTTATGTCATTCTTCAAGGAATAGAAATTTTAGATTTCGCGCCGGAGAACACGGAGGAAGCTGAGGAGGACATCGAATTTTGTGACCATGCAACAGCGAACGAAAAGCAAGAATTACCCCTAGCAGCCTCCCGTGGTTACTATTTGCCATTATGGAACGACGAAGACTACTTTGGTGCAAAGTGGTTTAGTGATCCAAATTTGACGCTTTCTAACCCCATCACCAATGCAATCACTATTTTTGATCTGGATTCATTTTGGAAAGTTTTGTCGCGTCCATTTCCCGCACTGATTGGGAGAATAGTAAGTAAAAGCAGGCTCAATCACTACGGGAAAGCGACTGATGACAAAAGGAAATATCCGTACCAGGCCTATCTTGAACTTGAGGATCGTACAGGGACGGTATCTGTGTGTATCTGGAGTTCTTTCTGTGTCCTGCTTTATAATTATCTTCAAGTTGGAGACATTGTGGCAATCTTAAACTACCGTGTTGCCAGGAAATTTGGTCAGAGAAGTAATGCGGTCTACAACACAAGTCCTGCAGCAAGCATTGAGGTATCCGTGAATCCTACCAGCCCCACTGCAGAAGTGTACAAACTAGCCCCCAGTGAGCTTGGTCCTGCATGGAAATTGCCTGGTGTACCATACAGGTATTGAAGTAATAAAAAACATGTAGTCTAAGAGCAAGTGGTACAATTTTATAGTTAGTTACTTGCAACACACTTACAGCAAGCAGGGGTTTCATTAGGTGCCAGGCAGCAGGCAAATTGACCGGCTGTGAGAATGATTTTGCCAGCCTGGTTTGATCATCTACAGAAAAGGTTTTCTTCTGAAGAAGTTCAGTTGAAAGAATTGTGCCTGCCTGTGAAAACCAGTTGTCCTCCTGCTGTAAATGTTAATGTAACCCTTGAGTTACGACATGACTGGGGTTTTATAAATTGATCGTTAAGGGCCAGGCGCTGGGCCAATTGACTAACTGTGATGACAATTGCAGCTGCAGTATCTGGTTTGACCATCTAGAAGAAAGTTTTTCTTACAAAATAGTTCAGTTCGAATACCAGTAGTTTTGCCCACCTGTGAAAACCAGCTGCCTTCCTGCTGAAAATATTAATGAAACCTCTTCAATCATAGCATCAGACAATGTTACATGATTTATACATGACAGGGCTCTACTTTCAGGAAAAAACATTGGGGCCAGCTGGTCTCTAAGTTTTCATATTTAGTCGCCAGCAAAAGTATTTCAGTGAAAAGCATGAAAAGTTAGTTGCCAGTGGAAAAAAAAAAATCAGTCACATTGGCAACCCCAGCATTTGCAACGTCAAGCTCTGTATAATGAGAGTTGTGTGCAAATATTTTTGCATGGTGCATGTATAAGCAATGCTGCATAAAGGTCATTCAACAAAGGTGTACCACCTAGTTTCGCCACTAATAAAAATTAACACTAGTGAGTAACAATGCTATAAGAAGTCTGTGTAATTTGGACATGGCAACTCTTGTTATATCATCGTTGCAAGATACATGTACATGTATAATACTGATACTAGTAAGTAATTTTTTAACTTCAGGAAGGTTCATGTAATAGCTTTGTTCTGTTTGTTTGCATTGTAGGTTCATTGAGAGGAAATTCCTGGCCAATTACTCACCAGGTTTAATATGTGACATTGTAGGAGCAGTGATGTTTATTAGCCGAGTCATCAGGGAGAGGAAGGCACGCAAGTCTTCTTTTTGGGCCAGTAAATGGGTTCATCTAAATGATGGTAAGGAAAACCATGTTGTTCCACTGTTTACAGTGAGCCTTGCACTTTACGACATTGAATTGTCTTTAACTGTTCCTTTTTTGCGTAATCTATAATTTTCTTCAATTGACTCACAATTTATGTGTTGTTTTCTTAGGGACAAGCTCCAAGCCAATCATCCTTCACCTTTACGCCTGTTCACAACCTGAAGTTTTCAATTCCATTGCACCAGGGAAAGTACTTGTCTGTGCTCGCATGCTCATCAAAATTGAAGCCCAGGATTCAAAACATCAGAGGTTTTGCTTTCTTACAACCACCCGTGAATCACAGCTTTACGTTCTTAAGCAGCCATCAGATGTAAATGGCAAGCCTTTCACAGGCTCTGACGCCGTCAACAAAGTCATCAGATGGCGTCAGTCTGAGGATTCCAAACAGCTTCTTAGGGAATCTTGTAAAGGAGGTTACTACAGCTTTCCGCCCTTGCCCTACTCCCTTGAATTATACAAGAGGACCTTCCCTCCTGAGAGGCCGATGGATCTAATAACAACAGTGAACCTTGGACTTATCCTGAAAGAGCTCCACTTCAGAGAACATGTACAGCTGCACATACAGGGTGTTGTTGTAGCTCTGGAGTTTGTTCCCGCAGCTCACAGTGGAAGACCTCCTCACCAGACAGCTGGGGAGGTCACTTGCTCTCAACTGTGTGAAACTCAAGGTAGTAGTAAGAACAGTGGAGAATCTTCTTCAGCATGTCCCGGAAGTCAGTCCAGTGAGCATAAGTTATTTTATTATTATTATTATTATTATTATTATTATTATTATTATTATTATTATTATTATTATTGTTGTTGTTATTATTATTATTATTATTATGATTATTTTTACAATAGACACATGGAATTGAGTTAGTGAATAGCATTTCAAAAACTAAAGAATCAAACATCGATCTGTTTGTCTTCAAAATAGAAAATTGTTTGTCATCCAGAACAGACTTTGTTAGTCCATGTTTGTCCAGATGCCTGCCAGTTGCAGAGTATTCGTGTTCGCTTATGCGTTAGTGTACATATCAAGCTGTTTACATGAAATTTACGTGCCTGTTAAGTACATTTTCAGGGCTCAAAAGAAAAAGAGCCATCCCATTGTTTTGGACAAGTAGACTCTCCTTCTGGACAAGTACCTTTTCATTCTCACTTGCCCGATGGGCAAGGGATCAAGCAAGTCATCTGCCAACTAAATCATTAAAAAGAGCAGGCTAAGACTTCCCAGTGCAAGCAATATTTCAGAGCTACTTGCCCCAAGGGCAAGCTGGAATTCAAGTTTTTTTTAGCCCTGCATTCTGTATATTTTGTCCTACACTTATAAAGCATCTCTGTCAAAACATGTAATCCTATGACATGAATTGCAGGAACATGGAACTGTTAAGTGAAGGTGACAGCATGCAGTATGAGTAATTATGCAAAATAATAAACCAACCCATAATTTTGTACCTTATTTTTGGAGTATTTTACATTTCTATTCATTGGTATTCTAGGTGACAATACGTTAAGACCTTCAACCAGTCAACACAGTGAATCAGGAACAGATTCTACACAAAAAGACAAGAAAAATCTAACCACAAACAGAAATTGCCACATGCAAAGTAAGTCCTTACTGGGTGTANAGGAACAGATTCTACACAAAAAGACAAGAAAAATCTAACCACAAACAGAAATTGCCACATGCAAAGTAAGCCCTTACTGGGTGTAAGAGCTAAGTACTGTTACCTAATGGCTTCCACATTTTTGGTCTCATTCCTAGTCTGTTGACAGGGCAACTATTTTTTTTTTTCTGAAATTTTTATGCCACAAACAAAATAAATCTGTGGGAGATTGAGTGAACGTGAATGCTCATCCCATTGTGATTGTTTGTATTTGCCATAACATGATGTACTTAATGACTGGTCCCTTGGAGAACAGTAAGTTTTGCTTCCCGAGAATCTCAATACAGTATTTCCCGAGACAAAGTCGAGTGAAACAATGAGATTCAAGGGGAACAAAATTCACTGTTCTCCAAGGGATCGGTCATTAAGTGATTTGTTATATAGCAAAACAAAACAAAAGCAAATTTTGGAAAACGCACTGAGATTCCAGCGACATTAGGCCACCTTCAACTGCACGCTCTGATCAGGTGCAACAGCGGTCAACATTTCGTGGGTAACAGTGAACTGTTCCCTGTTTGACGTCATAGTTTTCACAATGTTGCCTGCTCATGGCATTCAGCGGTAGGCAGTTTCATTGTTAGATGTCATGTGACCATGGCATGATGAACTAGCCAAGGAAGGTGCACGCTGTAGTGGGAAAAACGCCAGCTATGTAACAATCATTTTTAATGCCTGTGTTTAGTTTGTTTACAGAGTGTTAATTAGTATTTTTAAATACTAAAATAAACTATAAAAATAGTTAATCAAATGAATGCGAGTACAGTTGAAGATATANATTTTTAATGCCTGTGTTTAGTTTGTTTACAGAGTGTTAATTAGTATTTTTAAATACTAAAATAAACTATAAAAATAGTTAATCAAATGAATGCGAGTACAGTTGAAGATATATACACGTATAGCAGTGGCAATTGGAAGATTCTCGTAATATTTTCTGTGCCTTTAGGCGAATGCAGTTTGAAAGAATCTTCAATTTTCCTGAGCAGTGTAAATCCTTAATTATAAGAGCTTTCATACCAGCACTCATTATATGGCTGGCATAATTATGAATGCGCTTGCATTAATTTGCACTGCAGTGCAAATTAAAAGTTAGTGATTAATTTGCCCGTTCTCACAACCAATCATAATGAAATACTTTTCTCAGTCGTATTAATAATAATTAGGTGTGAAATTCGAAGTACGTGCACATGTCCAGGTTACAAATTTAATATTTGTTAATGTCTGCGTTTATTTTTGGTGACAACTGAATCTGTTTTATTGCTAGCACGAAATTTGAAGAACAAAGAAGATTCTGAAATGGAAAGTGAGCACGAGTCATCTGGCACAGGTAGTGAAATGACAACAAGGACAGGGAAGAAATACGGTTACATCGTCAGGAGAATTAATCCCAAAAGGAAATGCAAAACAGGTGAATTTAGGCTCTCTCCACACTACGCCGGAGGAATTTGAAAACGGCTCCGGTTTTACTCTGAAAACGCATCAAATGTTTTCCGTCCACACTACGCGAGTGGAATTTAAAAACGCAACAATCACCGGTCATTGTGGATTTGTGTTTGAGGAAAACTCAGTCAGGGAAATCACGTGATTATCGTGACGTCATCATTTTCGAAAAGCTCCGTTTTCAAAATGTTCTCCCTTCGCGAGAAACGAAAACCCAGCGTTGTCAAATTTCTCTGGTTTGAAGTTCGTTTCGAAAAGTGCTGTTTTCGAGACAGATTAATGTCGACAGACAGCCTAACTGAAGAAATATAGCTGCGTTTTCAAATTTCTCCGACGAGGCCTTAGAATCAGACTATAGAGTATAAAGCTATTAAACTAGTAGTAATCGTAGACAGAAGCATATCACCTAGACTGGGTGATATGCTTCTGTCGTAGATCAAAGAGTGCGTTCGAGTATTCGTAGGTTTGCTATGTTAAAAAGCAAAAATTCTAGGAACAGCATTTTTTGCCTGAGCTGTTAGGAAGACGTGGAATTGGCCTCCCTCCAACAGGAGCGAAAACAAATGAATTGATCGCTAGGCACGTGCATACGAGAGGGTTTGTTCTCGTTTATACATCTATAGTGTGTTACGTAGTATTAGTTACTACCGGTCAGTATAAAACACGGACTGCAGTTGGTAAGCCGCATTTAGTCCGCAGTCCGCGTCTTATACCCGAATCCGTGTTTTTTACCAAGTCTGTAATGCTTAGTCCGCATTTTATACCTCAGTCCGTAGTAATCAAACAAAGATATTTAGACTCAATCGCACTTAAACTACGCCAAGATCTCGGTCGCATTTTAAGTTCTCTACAGGGTTACAGTTTCTGAAGTTCGATCGGCCATCGATAAACGAGCGCGAATCCTCCGTAGGAAAAAAGATGGCGACTGGTACATTTACCCATAATTCTTAGCGCACAAAAACCTTAACAACGTTCATAAAAACGTAGAGAAACGTAATAAAATCTTCAAACCTAGGCTACTCAATGTCCTTAGCACAGGGAAAAATATTGTAAAAAAATGGCTTTCTTAGTGCTTTATAGGCTGTGTTAGGTTCGCAAGGCATTGTGGTAAAATGTACAGCCGCCATCTTTTTTCCTACGGTGTATTACCAACGAGCTTATCAACAACATCGGCATAGCGTGGGGGACAGAGAGAGATTAGGGCGAGTGAAACTAACAATTACAAACATGTCATCAAAATCGTAGTTATAAATGGGACGATTATAACATCAGCCAGGCAAATAGAGACAATCTTGTAAGCATATATACACTTTAATAATACCATGGAGCGAAGTAACTTCTGTATGGAGCGAAGTAACTCTTGTATGGAGCGAAGTGACTTTTGGTTGGGGCGAAATGACTGGGGGCGAAATGACCATGGGGCGAAATGACCGGATACCTTAACTATGACCCATATACTGCTGCTTATTAACTCGCAGTAGATTCCTGTTGCAGACGAACGTCAAACCCTTTCAATTAATCCCACTCTCAAACTATGAATTCTCCTTTATGATTTCCATACTTGTTTTAGTGTTAATATTGTTCATTCTAGCACATCAAAGACAATATTCCCATATGATTTGTAAGATATTGTAAGGAGAAGTAAGAAGTCTATCACACCCAGTAAGTTATTCGGGTAACACTAGGATCCCATTGATAGTAACATTCTCTTTACCCAAATTAGGGTTGGCACTCCATGAACTGAAAACCTAGTTTGATCAGGAGTGGTTAGTGATCCTCAAGCCCCATGAGTATCCATTACTACAATCACAGTTTGCTCAAACAGGTTCATATTCCACAGGTTCACCCATTTCTGGGTAGAGAGCGTCAGTGTGAATTCAAAACACGGAAATGATCGAGCTATTGACTGTTAGTGTACAAACAAGAAGCTTCCAAAATTATATACACTGTGCATGTACATTCAGCTAGTCTCTTACAAATGATTTAAAATAATCTTTATATATTTTACTTATTTATTTATTTGTTTATTTACTTATTTTAAATTAATCGGTCAAATTCTAGAATTCCTCTATTTTATTTATCTTTATATATCAATATACATGATTTGATATTACTTTTATGACTCCACGTTATACCACTTACAAATTTTAGAATAGGTTAATGTGAAGTGCATTTACATCATTTTACTTACCTGTGGTTTAGGGATTTTTTTAAGTGTTATTTTCAATTTTCATTTTTGCACAGCCACATCACATTAAAAGACAAAAGTCACCACTAATAAACTGGTGATAAGAAGCAACATTTCCAGAAATGAGAAGAGAAGACCAAAGTCTATCTCACTGCAAGTCAAAGTTTCAGCACAATGTGTTCAATAATTTCAATTTTGGGAAATGCAATAGACTGAAAGAAATTAGTTTATCTTTCCTAAGCTATTGTCTTCCAAGGAAAGTGCTTATAAAAGTAGAGGCAATTTTTATTTAGCCACTAAAAGCTATGGCTCGGTGATAAAATCAAACTTGCATAGTTACCACAAATGTAAACTCAAACATAAAATCACTCTGCTGGATATCATGTATTTCCTCTGAGGGATGTGTTTAGTAAAATAGCTGGGGGCAATAACTGTTTCTTATTATATCGCCAGCTCCATAAGCAGGCAAGATGAACCAAATCCTTTGCTGTGATTGGCTACCTGAGTGGGCAAGAAAATGATGCTATTTTACCTGCTTGGGACTACCCGCTGTGTCCCATAAGAAAATTTTCCCCAAAAGCCACAAAATAAATCCTTTATTAACCAAGCTTGTTCGGTAAAGATGGTTGGATAATGGCATCATTCTTTTTTCGTTAGTTTATGGACCTCAATTCTGTCTTAGTCCATATACATGTAAACACACAAAAAAAGAACTTGGCCAATATCCAGCCATCTTGACCTCACACTTGGTCAATGACTTGGTCAATGAATCCTCTACTTCAGAGAAGAAAAGTTGAGGGTCATAAAACAGACTTTTTGATCAGTTGCACATACCATATTTAATCGATTAAGCACCACCCCTGATTAACCACCAAACATGATAGAGCAAAAATATGAAAAAGCACCGCCCTTGAACAAGCACCACATTCATTTCCAATGATCCAACACACTCATTTAATTGAAGCATCATTAGACTGAAATGTTCAAGGAGTCAAACTAATAACCAAGTAACTATGGTACAACTAAATCTTAACCAGCCTCAGAAATTTACTCTCCTGGATTACAATTTTATTCTCAGTGAGTTAGATAAATGTTACTTTTTCTAAAGAGTGCCATGTACCCTAAAATAAGCATCATCCACAAAAAAGCAAAGCAACCAAAACACTAAAATTGTAAGTGCAACAACACTCAACAGCGTTAAAATACAGTAACTGCATCACAGTTAGTTATAGCAGAGTTAATCCTGCGAGTTTATCTTTGTCCCTATCAGTAACACCAAGGATCATGTCATTTAGGCCATGTGCATGGTGACAAGATAAATTGTGAAAAAATCATTATCAGCTTACTACTTTGTCAACATTCGTTCATTGATATAAAATTTTAATATAATTTCCATTTTACAATACAGATTTTGTTTCATTTCCAAAGGTCAGATTATGAGCAAAATACCAAATATTGGAAAGTTCATAATTTTCTGTACAGGCATGTTTCCACAAAAGAAATGCATCTTTTTGTTTCTAACCTTAATTTAACTGGTAGCTCATCAAAAAAGTTCTGTTAATGAAACATCACATTTCCTTGAGAAGGATTTAAGTCATGAAAGTGTTTATTATTTGTTTCATTTATTCTTCCAGCATATGAACAGTTCAAACTACCAGAATCCTTTGAGGCCAGCAATTGAATTGTCTAACTTTGCTGGGCTGGTATGAGGAAGACATTTTTGCCCGGGCACAATTGAGTGGAAGTGAAAGTGAAAGTGAAAGTGTTTTCTCGCCCTTCAGATTTCTCTTTGTCATATCTCCTCTGCCACTTTTAATTCCCTTCATGCCTAATGGTCTAAGAAAATAGATTGCTGCTCAAAGTCTTCTTTCAAGCACAATCTAGTAACTAAGGGGTCAGAGGTAGAACACATCATGATCAATATAACTAAACAAGTTGGTTCTAATATTGTGCTGAAACTTAATTTGCAGTGTTACCAATTCTCATAATCTCATTTCTCATTTCTTGCCATGAATTGCAACACATGCATCACTATTAATTTCTTGTTCATAAAGCCATCACCTGAACTTAATGTACACCGTTTCCACGCCTCAGAATTTCTTGATGCTTTATCATCCAGTACACATCGCACTTGTTGAAAATTCAGGTCTAAAAAGTTTATTAATCCTTCAGGTTAGATTGGAAATATTTAACAACTGTTACAACTTACCTCCACATCAAAGAAAATAACTGTGCAAATGTGGGTGCATTTTAATATTACCAAATGTAGTCAAAGTGTTTCATTTCAGGGGTTACTAAACAGAGTAACATGACGGGGTTGAAGGAATTTTGGGGAAAGGTCTGGAGTTGTTCATTTTCCTTTCCTCTGCTTTGTGAGCAGTCCTTTGAGAGGAAGTAACCAAATCTTGCTGGTTTCTGTACATGTATTTGTACATCATTTCGTTTTTATGTTATTTAGTTTAGTATCTCCATAACTCTAAGATCAGTCCAAACCTCACTTTCATAAAAAGGCTGCAAACACATTTCATGGAAATGTAAAATTTTCTATAATTCTCAATTAACTACTGAGATTATATGCAAATCAGA